GTGTATAAGAAAATGCAAGCTGTAGATACAGCGGTGGCCAAAAGTATGGAAACTTTTTACTTTTTAAAATATCACAGAAAATATTGCTATGCTTAAACTCTCAGGAATATAAATGAACAGCTTATCAGCAAATAAAAGTATTCCAAAAATTACACAGCGAAAAAAATCTGTTTAGCAGTTTTTGTAGGAGAACAATAGATTTCTTGTGGCCAAAAGTATGGAAACCATAAATAAATACATTAAAAATTGTTTAGTTTAAGCTGATAAACGGTACGATTTGCTTCAGATAAATATAAACATCATGCCTGGAAGTCTAAATATTTCTCTACGGATTTAAAAATAAAATAGTTAGATTATACAAGGCTGTTATAAACAAATTCAAATAAGTAAAAATTTAAACATTTTAAAAGGCACCGTTTCGAAAACAATTCGTAAATTTAATAAAACAGGGAACGTTTCAACAGCTTTTAAGTCCAGGAAGACCAAGAAAGTTGTGCAACAGGACAATGAAAGTAATGAAGAGAATATCAATGGGAGATCCAAAGAAAAAAACATCTACAGACATTTCTCGAGTAGAAATGGGTGAAAGGGGAATATCAGTGTCTGCACGCACGGCGAGAGGTTGGATGACAATGGGATTTTTGCAAGAGTTGCGGTGAAAGAAACCACTAATATCAAAGAAAATGGGATGGCCCGCTTTAAATTTGCTCAAGATCATCTCACCTGGTCTTATCAGAAATGGAATACTGTACTGTTTAGCTTGACAGAAAGCAAGTTTCAACTGTTTGGTGGTGACGGGAGACGTTATGTCCGGAAGACCAAAGAGGTACACGTATCAGCCATAAGGGTACCAGATGCCCACAGTAAAACATGGGGTGGGAGGTATAATGGTATGGGGGTGTTTTTCTCGCTCAGGTGTTGGTCCTCATGTTAAAATTGATGGGATAATGGACCGTTTTTTGTACAAAGACATATTGAGGAGGGAATATGCTGCCTCATGCTGATGAAGAAATGCCAGTCAGATGGTTGTTCCAATAAGACAATGATCCCAAGCACAAATCTCGGTTTGTTCAGAATTGGTTAAATGAACATAATGTTCCACTAATGGATTGGCCCCTCCACAGTCTCGGATCTTAACCCCATAGAAAATTTATGGGACCATTTGGATAGCAAAATTCGAAGCCATTCTATTTCAAATAAAAATGAATTATGGGAGGCGCTAAAAACTGAATGAGCGGCCATTTCCAGTAAAGATTGTACGAGATTGATCGATTCGATGCCACGAAGATGTAGAGAAGTAATTAATTCAAAGGGATATTCCACTAAATATTAGTAATTTTTATATTATCTTGAATTTTAATAAACATTCTTCTTAAGTTTCGATACTTTTGACCAAGAAAATATTCATAATTTTTTATATATTTTTTGATAGCTGTAATTTTTTATTTAAATTTATTAGGTTTTGTAGGAAATTATTTGTAGGTCACGATTATATAAGTCGTTTTATTTCATATTTTAATTTCTCAGCATAAATGACAAATTAAAAAAGTTTCCATACTTTTGGCCACCACTGTATATGATTGATTTTCTAGTGACCATTCGATCCCTATGTGGTAAAAGTGATAAATTTGTTTCCTGTTAGTGATAAATTTGTTTCCTGCTAAGTTGTCTTATTTATGGTTAACATTAAAATAACTAGTTACATTAGCTCTGTATTTTTTACGTTTTATTTAGTAACTATCCGTGGGAAAAACCTGACTAATTTAACAGAACCGGTCACTTTATGTGTTTTTTCTCAATAACATGAACTTTAACTTGTAACATTCGTAATTTGTTGTAGTAAATAAATTTAATGATGAATAAATATAAATTAACGAAAATGCTAAGGCTGTATTCCGTTTCTTACCTTGGTTATGATTTACTGTGTCCCTCTAAATACAGGGTTGTTCACATTAAATGGAACACCCTGTATATTTTATGAGAATCAGATGCACAATTTAATTGTCTATCAAATTGTATTATACCATTTTTTACCTATCCCTTCAAGTTTTCGTAGAAAATGCATTTTCTTGTAATTTAGAACTCATTTATCAATATACCCATGGAATACTGACATTTTAGATTATTTTTAAAGATGTGCCAAATTTTTAAAGAGTACAGATACTAATATTGTCGATATAGTTCGTTTATTTCATTAAAAAAAAACTGTTTAAATATTTGTTAAAAAGGACCAATTAATATGATTCCAGTATTCAAACTACATTAATTGGACTGTTTGCGTTGATTAATAATAATTGCTCCAAATACTAAAAGCTGAATTATGTATGTGTATTAGACAGTGTGGTAAAAAGTAACACCTTAAAAATGATATTTAATTTTTCGACAAATGCCTATTTATAACAACAGAGACGTTCATTTTCATAACTTATTATTATATTGATTTCTGATTCAAATCCACATTTATTTAGAATAATTTATTAACGAACACAATTAAGTATGTAGTTAATTAGTTTTTTTTTTGCATACAAATGGGCTAGTAATATTATCGTTTTACTAGAAACGATAATATTACTAGCCTGTATATTTTGTACATTTGTTGTTTTAAAAACAATCTAAAATGTCAATATTCCATGGGTATATTGAGAAATGAGGTCTAAATTATAAAAAAATGCATTTTCTACGAAAACTTGAAGGAATAGGTAAGAAGTGGTATAATACAATTTGATAGACAATTAAATTGTGCATCTGATTCTCATAAAACATACAGGGTGTTCTATTTAATGTAAATAAGTTATTGCCGTTTAAAGCTAGTAATTATTTAAAATAAAATTTTAGACACTCTGTATAAGGTAGTATAATTTTTATTATTGCAACACAATAACTGACCGATAAATAAACTTCAGTAAATATTTAGTATTAAGAACTTTGATATCCTCAGATAGAAGCCTTAAATTTATACTGCAATTCATAAAGGTGAAAATATTTCAAGAACAGTAAGGTTTAAGTGTAATAAACCTTAATCAAATTTACTTTTGTTTTAATCGTAGAAACTAAAAATGCAATAATATACAGGGTGTTCCATTTAAAAAAAAATACAACTTTGATATTTTTTATTTATTTGGGACACTCTGTATCTTGTAAAAATATTTTTAAATTGTATCTCTAATAGTCCTTTAACAAACCCAAAACTTACAATTTGTAAAAATCTAATCGTTTAGCTACAATACTCCGTGTCGTATGTGGTGAACAACCCTGTATAATTATTGTCACCCATTTAAAGCAGCTTAAAAGGTCGTTCTTTTTCGGTTCGTTTGTCCGTTATGTGCATGGGGTTCATCTCATTTCGGTAGGCCATTGACAGTAATATGGCCGAGGACCGCGGTTCGGATTCCGCGTAAACAAAGTAGGCCCCATCCAGATTAGCCTTAGCAGCAGAATGAAACATCGACTTAAAATACTTTTTTACTTTCTATTCTGGAAGCGATTCTTACCGTAGTAAACTACGGTAAGTAGTAAAACAGTCTAAAAGACGAAATATTGACATTTTCAAGAATGCAAAAAGATTGAAACTGTAGATATAGATAGTTTACAGTGCCGTAAATTCTGAATAGATTGGAAATGCAAGATTTGTTTCGCAATGCTGTTTTAAATTCAGACAAGCCAGAGAGCGCAAAAACAATCGGGGCTTGCCAATCGGTTCATTGAATAGAAAATACCGTAACAGTAACTCAATATGTACACCGTGTCCTAAAGAAAATATTTTTTTCTTAAAATAAGTTAGCTGGGAAGTGACAAATCATCCATCGATGTTCAATTCAAACGAATAACCTTATCTTACGAATCATAAGGTACCCAAGCTAACAGTTGGGGGTTGGAGCCTTTGGTGTTACAACAGCAAAATAAAATACTAATTCGCCACAATACACCAAAACACTTTTGCTTTTGCAATGGACGCGCGTTTCGCTAACCGTGTTAGCATCATCAGCAGATGATTAAAACTGGTTTTAATCTAGGGTTGCCAAAAGTCATGAAAAAGTAAACATAAACACATATAAACACAAACGAGAAAAAAACGAAAACGCATAGGTAGCTTAAAAGTTACATCAAACAACATCAACCAACCTCCAAACCAACTTAACTAAATTTGAAAAAAAAACCTTACATTTTCAATTAAAGATGCAAATGCCTATAAAAACATAACACAAAAAATATAACTAATACATTTAGCAATATTATAGGTACTAAATAATAAAATAAAATATTTAAACTTCAATAATTGCTAATAAACATTATAGACACTTCAAAATAACTTCAGGAATGAGAACAGTAAGAGATAGCATCAATACTATTTATTATTACTGAGTACCGAAAGAACCGGAATTTTCCGGTTCTGAACCCTAATCAATATGTAATATTTAAAATAAAAATATTTCTTCCTATATAACTGCTGTTTTGTAAAATCTCCAGCTTTCTCAAACAATGAAAAACTGAAAATAACAAAAACTTGTGTTTGTTTGGATTGGGGAAACCAACCACCTCCATGTTGCCGGTTTCGGTGCCTATACCTCATCGTCAGACTAGCTAAACGGGCTGAATTTTTCAGAACGGCAAACAAACAAATTACTGTATCAATTGGTGACTTAATTTAATGTCGGTGAGTTGTTAGGTGAAGATCTAATAACACCAGTACACAGATGGAAAGAAGCATTTTCAGACGGCTCCATAAATTTTTATATTTTTATGGACACCGTGTATTTAAAGGTAACCACCCGGAATTTTTGAACGACCTTGCCAAGGACGCCCGCCCGCATACCTACCATTATTTACCATACCTACGAATACCATTTCACGAATTAGCCATTCAACCAGCGGCGAGCAAAAACTCTCTCAGTCCCAAACCGACTCTTACGCGACACGTACAAACCCATAGAACTGCCTTGTGGTACTCACTTTCATTGTATTTCCATGTTTTTTTAACTAAAAAATTTTAATCCCTCTAGTTTGGAAAAATGCAACTCCGGACTCTAGAATGCCAGCCCAGGACAGTGTATGAAGATTATGTTAAGTACACTAAAAGAAAGTGTTAGCGAGGGCCAAATATACATACACTACAAAGTGTTTTTTTCGTGTCTGTGATAAATACGTACATACATAAAAAATTGTGATAAAAAGTGTTCCCCGTGTAAATAAGTGACATGATGACGTATCAGTTAAGTACCGGTAGTATACGGGAGAAGAAGGGTTCCATGACCAACGTGAGCAATTGGTTTTCTTCGTTGAAGAGGCCGAAGAAAGTGAAATATAAGGAAGAGCATGTCAGTAGGAGTGTTTGGGACTTGTCTTCATTGTCGCACCATAGCAGGAGTTTGGTATATATCATTTATTTTTATTTAAAAATGATGTCATTGCGTCTGTGTTAATTATAAATATGATCTATTGAATGTATTACTTTATTCAAATAAACTGGCTAAATTACCGCCGGCGGTATAGATAATTGCCGAAAGAAAGCCCGCCGTTAGACGGTTTTACGTAGTTATTAATATGAATACCGCCGAACGACGAGAAAAAATGTAGAACGACGAGAAAAAAGTATGGCGGTTTTTGCTAAATATATAAAGAATACCGGCGGTATCGAACGACGAGAAAAATTTTTCAAGTATGGCGGTTTTTGCTAAATATATAAAGAATACCGGCGGTATACCGGTATATTTTATTTTTTTATTAAATCGTTTGGCGGTATACTTTTTTAAAAACCGAAATACCGCTCATATTTTACCAATGGTATATATTATTTATTTTTATTTAAAAATTATGTCATTGCGTCTGTGTAGGATAAAAAAACACTGAATTTTAATTTAATTATAAACCCGATTTATTGAATTTATTACTTTATACAAACTGTCTAAATTACCGCCGGCCGGCGGTATAAATAATTGACGAAAGTAAGACCGCCGTTAGACGGTTTTGCATATTTATTAATATGAATACCGCCGAACGACGATGAATTTTTTTCAAGTACGGCGGTTTTTGCTAAATATATAAAGAATACCGGCGGTATACCGGTATACTTTATTTCTTCTGCTAAATCATTCGGCGGTATACTTTTAAAAAAACGAAATACCGCCTATATTTTACCAATGGTATATATTATTAATTTTTAAAATTAATTTAAAGCAGGCGGTATAGACAGTTGACGAAAGTAAGACCGCCGTTAGACGGTTTTGCGTATTTATTAATATGAATACCGCCGAACGACGATGGAATTTTTTCAAGTACGGCGGTATTTGCTAAATATATAAAAAATACCGGCGGTATACCGGTATACTTTAATTCTTCTACTAAATCGTTCGGCGGTATACTTTTAAAAAAACGAAATACCGCCTATAATTTACCAATATATTATTTATTTTTATTTAAAAATGATGTCATTGTGTCTGTGTAGGATAAAAAAGATTGAATTTTAACTTAATTATAAACCCGATTTATTGAATTTATTACTTTATTTAAACAAACTGTCTAAATTACCGCTGGCCGGCGGTATAGATAATTGACGAAAGGAAGACCGCCGTTAGACGTAATGGTTTTAGGTATTTATTAATATAAATACCGATGAAAAACGAGGTCAATTTTAATCAGTCCAGTACGGCGGATTTTGCTTAATACATAAATAATACCGGCGGTATACCGGTATATTTTATTTTTCGTTAAAGCGTTCGGCGGTATAACTTTTAAAAAAGCGAAATACCGCCGTTATTTTACCGAATTTTATATGTTATTGTTATTACCAACGTAAGTTCCGCGATCAGGTACTGTTGTCAAATGTCTCTGTTTGATTAATACCTACTCGTCTGATTGCTTTGAATATTTTGATTTTAAAATGGAGTGTTTTACAATTTTTTCCAATAATCAAATAACAACGACAGCTGAATTCAAGTCAAAAAATGAAAAAATAGTTATTAAGCTAAGATATTAAGTTTTGATTTCGGCGGCATTTGATGTTTAAAATACGGTATGCCGCCATTTGACGGTATTTATTTACAGGTTAAACATACCGCCGTCAAATTAATTCAATTTTCCACCGATATTTAGATATAGAAATATCATTCCGGCGGCATGACGGTATTTTTTGTATATATGTAACACATTAACAACTATCAATACCGCCGGCGGTTGTTTAGTGCGTTGTAAAAAACAGCTAATTAAGAGAGAGAGCCAAGGAATTTCGACATTAATATAATTTAAAAACCTATTTCGTAAAAAAATAAAAGAACAATAATATTTTAAGATAGTAAAATCTCATGAGACACATTGAAATTATATGCTTATTTAAACTATGTCATTTATTATTACAAATCTATTGTCTCCTTTTATTCATATTATTAAAGCAGTCTTAATAACAATGAATATATGAAATAGCGTGAACGCCAGAATCAAATTAATATACAGAGCTATTTATAACTGAAAGTTAAAACTTTTTCTATTATTCTAATAAATGTCAGACATTCACTCGATGACTAGTACGGCGACAAGTGGCACCAAGAAAATTACTTGCTAATGAATGTCATTTCGAACGAAATTTACTGCTTTCTCATAATTTGGAGTGTATCAAACGGAAATCACCACAATGAGTCATTTGTTAGAGCACGCTGTGTGCTATTATTACTGTTTTTTTTTTCGGTAGCGTTAGTTGGGATTGGTCGTGTGAAAATGCAGCTGTATAGGGGCACCCTAATACCATTACGAAAAACACACACAAGAAAATTGGTTTTTTGTTATGTATACTGGTACACGCGGTACTATAATTTGTCAGGGATCGTTCTAACCTTAACGACTTCGATTTTTTAAATTTTTGTTAACGATTTTTAAAAATATTTTGTACAGGGTTGGGTAAGTAGAAAATTTTCTATTCTCTACCGTATTTTCTACACGTAGAAAATTAATTTTCTACGCCAGCTAATTTTCTACATTTTTTACATGTCCAGACATAGAAAATTAGTTTTGTATATTGGAAGCCTGTTTTGCGTTTATATTTATTTCAAATCATAACGATTAGTACAAGATTTAAACTAATATAACGATATCTCTAATTGTTATTTATTATTTAACAGATGGATAGTGCATAGTATGTCAAAAAAAGCTTAACTATTAACTATTAACTTAACAAATTGCCTACAAACAATTGACTACAAATATCAGTCACAAAATGAAGACTAGATACGCCCATGACATATTTGAATGCTTTGATGAATCAAATAAAAGTTAATTTGAAATATACTTAATAAGTTTGCCATTGAACAAATAATTTTTGGTATTTATTGGTCACCTTTTATTAATGTAATAATAAAATGTTTATGTTAACGATATTTTATTATTGGTAATGATCTTTTTTTAACCTCTTAACTTTTTTATTTTTGTTCATTAACATAATAAATTAAATCTTCAATAAGGTCTATAAGCTACCGGAGGTCATTTAATGAAGTTCTTGATATACAGGGTAAGGTAATACTGTATCAATACAATCATATTGTATCAATAGATAAGTATCAAAAGTTAATAAAAAAAATTATCATTTATCAGGAGGTGAAGATGATAATATCTAAATCAAAATTATAACATAAAAAATGTAAATTTTTTAATAATTTTAATTTTTTGGATACCTACTGGATATTGTGGTAATGCTTTATCGTCATAGAGACTCAATTTTTGTGAAAGTAAGTTTCATATTAATCAGTTTTATAGAAGTAATAGAAAATGGTTTAATTTGAATAAACTATGTTTTAAAATATTCAAATATTCAACACTCGGTATTTTTAAAACGAATTATTTATATTGGCATATTTATTTTGAATGGTTAGAGAGATCTTATTTTGTAATTTTCCCAGAAAGTCTGTAATTTTAGTGCCCGTAAAGAAGGTAATTCGCCATTGTGTTCTATATTTTTCATTGACGGTTAAATGAATGAATAGCTTGTTTGTAATTCCTGATAATTTTGGGAATAAACTAACGAATTACAAAAGCCAGTACAAATAAAAATTCCTGAGTCATAAGGTCAATATACACATGTACTTGTATACATATAACGACAGTAACGGTTTTCAAAGTTCGCACATCTGTGTTTGGTTGACTTATTCCATACATATAAGTGTGTGCATAAAAAATTGTCTGGATTATGAACCTCGTGTGAGTCTATTTTTTACCAGAGACTAATAAAACTACATAGAAGTGACAACTCATTCATACTTGCCCTGCCATTCATTCTTACTTATTTGTTTTACACCGTCAGTACTAGTGGGGTAGTAGGTATTTTATTGACTGATAATGATGAATTATGAAATAACTTATCTGTGAATTAGTGTTTTATTTTGCTGTTGTAACACCAAAAGTTACAACCCCCAACTGTATCCACTTATTAAATGTACTAACGCTGGCATCCTCAGCGGACAACCTCACATTTGACGACACTCAAATCCGTCATGGGTGAATATACCCCAGTCAAATTAGTTAAAAAAAGGACCATCGGTGGAAAAAATTCCCACAGTTTTGAAAATGGTTTTAAATGATTCCTCTAGACTTGGGCTGATATGTATCAAAAGTCCCCGAAGATAGACGATGAGCTCGAGGAGTGGGGAAGAGTTAAATGTCAATTTTCTCACTTTTTTGCTTATATCTCGGAAACTATGACATTTACCGAAAAACGCTCTATATATAAAAATAAAGCTGACAAAATTCTCTATAAAAATTATTCTATACATATTTGTTCCCGAGCTTATGGTTTCCCTTTATAAATTTGGATACTAAATCAAATTAATGGCATATTCCAAATCCATACAAACACATTTCTTTTCATTGCACGTTTTTAGTTCAAATAGTGTTGAAGAAGTACGATATTGTTACGTTTTTCGTCGGTTCCGTGTGGATAGAAAGTCACAATTTATTTAACACTAATTAACAAAAACAATAACGATTAAAAGACTTAAAGTACTATTTATAACTTATTTACAATTTATCTAATTATTTATCTAACAGAAATTTATTTTGAATTAGTGCGGCGATTGTAACTCTACGCGTCGATCGGTTATTTATCTCTATCTTCCTTATGCCCCGGCGTCTGCTTATATAGGAGAGAAACAGACAATCCAGATTTGTCTAGTCAATTCTTATTCGTTCTTAAGGTGCGTATTCATTATCCGAACGAACGAACGAACGAATGAAAGTGCGGTATATTTAGACGGGGACCGAACGCATGCGGCCGTTCGTTCGTTCGTTCGCTCGACCATCCGTTTCGAGTCGGTACATCAAAGGCGTTCGCCAACAAATGCCTCCGGTCTTCTCGTGCGGTTCTATCGTACGGTCCCCGTCCATACCACTA